CATGTAGAATTTCGGCGGTCATTTTAGCAACAGGAAGAATGTGAAGCACATCTTTGTTTGATGACAAGAGCGACTGAAGCATGAAAATATGAGCGGTTGTGGCTGCCTCTTGAGAATTGGCTGCAGATCCAACTATGCTGCCCCCTTTATAATCGAAGTATGGCTTGATATGAATTTCATCAACCATTAGCGTCACCGTCTTTTCGTGCGGCTGCATGCACTTCACTCTTTCTCGAATGTAGGAGAGGAAGTTCGCTTCGTTTTGCTCCTTCAGTGGATCGCCTCCATACTTGGAACAAACGCGGTGCAGGGTTGAAGGATGGGGTAAAGTCAACGTCGACGCTGATCTGGCAAAGTTATAGGCGTGCGGAGATATGGAGTGCAGGATGCTAGAAAACACTAATGTTTCAGCACTGTAGCGACGAATGGGGGCAGCGAGTGCGAGAGCTATTTGCTCATTTAGCAAACGAAACAAAGCACTGTGTTCTTCGGTCGTGTCACTGTCTTGGGACAGTTCATTCAATAAGGAGCCGATATGCTGCAACACTGACGCTGTTTTCGACGGACTTGCAACTTCAGGCGTCTCAGTCATGTGGTTTTCCAGCTGCTGGAGCAGTGAGGACAACGTCCGAATGTCGCGCTCTGCGTCTGGAACTGCGCCTCCGCAAGGTAATGAAACCAGCTTGATCATACCTGCTGAGACTGCAAGTGAGAGATCAGCAAGCACAGTGACGGAAAACCTCACGTGCGGTGAAGGATTATCTTCGATGCGGAGAAACATCACACAACGATCGTTGGCCTTGATGGTCCAGAAATCATTACTGCATACAGCAGAAAGCTTGCCTCTTAAGTGTTCGAAAGAGGACACAGCTTTTCTCTCCTCTTCGCTTTTTTTTGCGCATATAGAGTCCTTAATCACTTTGCTCAAGGCCTCGTATTCCATTCGAGCTCGTTTCGAGACAGGTGATTCTCGACGATTGCGATTCGTGCTCGGGTAGGACGGACAGTTCGGAAACACCGATGGTATAGCATCTGACACTAGGCGCACCCTCTCGCTGTCGACTGTCAATGTCCGTCCCGACGCTGCGTCGAAATGTGACAGCTTTGTGATGAAGTCAGCCTCGAGGAAGTGGAGTTCACAGACCTGCGCCAAGCATAACAGTGACTTCATTACTTTCATACGAAACGGGCTAATGGGAACTTTGACACGAGCCTGAGTATTTCTGTTTTATTTTACCGCACTGCCCTACCTGAAGCGCGACAAAACTACCATCACCACTCACGATACTCGCTCCGTTCAACAGTAACAGAGCCAGAACGTCAGTAATGCGATAGAGCCGGTAGGACAACAAACTTCAGCAGTTTCTCACCTTGGAGTGTATGCTTGGTGTGAAATCCCTTCGCGGAATGGCTTTTATCCAAGACTTCTTCCGAGCTTCATCCTTGGGGAATGCGAAAACACGCACTTTGGGACCACTGTCATAATTGCCGCGGCACCCGGGACCACAACAACGTCCCATGTCGCACTGATCGATGTGTAATCACATACTCACAAATACAACACCAATAAAATAGGACACGTGGGAACGGACAAAGACTCAGAGCAGTGCGATGCAGCACCAAGCCTAACGCAGTCTATATAACTAGCGAAGCAGGTAGCGATGAAAGGCAAACCTGTCGTGGCTTGTCCGCCGTTCGGGGTAAAAAAAGTGAGCGGGGTGACCAACACCACCACCTGAGCGACGCGTCCTCGGCCACTAGACAGTCGGTGATATGCCCGGGGAGGGGTTGAGGCTGCCACCCAGGATTCGGCGAAGGACGACTCTTGCGACGCGTCTCACCAACAAGTAGAAGATGCGTTTAATTTACATATTTGCAAGAGAAGTACATTGCAACGAGAGCGTACAGACGCGCCTTTCCATCACAAGGGCCCAGAGCGCACTCGAGACGAGCGGGCCAGCAAAGTCCAGATAGAGAGCACAGCGCACTCCCGACACGCTCCTTTTATAGCCGTCCGTGCACGCGCTAGACGCCGACTGTGTGTCCCAGCGACGCTGATGTGCATTTCCTGCGGCGCACACAGACGCCTCCCGCGTTCCTGCAGGACGCGGACAGCGTTTGACCGTTACGCCGATGAGCGTCCCTTGCAAGCCACCTCCTTGCTGTGCCGGTCATAACATCAGACAACTAGCGTGACGTATGCCGTCTGGAGAGAGGGGTATGAACGGGCCTTGTGAATAGTCTAGGTGGTGTTGGCCCATGCCGGCTCGCCTGACTGCTTTCCCTTTCCTGGCGGCAGCGCGGGCCGCGTCCGAGACAGTCGTCTTCGTCCTTTTCCTCCTATACTTTCCTCCTCAATCTTTCCCTCCCACTCCCCTTCCCCCGCGAGAAGCCGTGTCGGTGTTTTCGTATTGAAAGACGATAACAGCTACGCGCTTTTCTCTTCTCTTTCCTCATTTAAGAACCTCTACCACAAGGCTGCGGCGCGCGTACGCCGCTACGTTAAAGTTGCGCTCTCGGTGCCATCGATGTGTGCAGCATTCGTAAACGCCCGCCGCTCTACCGCTACTTTCGAGAGTTGCGGGAAAGCTCGCCGCCTGTCAATGGAGCGTGGGCGGTTTGGGGTGGCTGAGTTCGATATATCCATTATATGTCGAACTTTGTTCGAAATAAAAAATCAATAATGCATGCGATTTCCCGCGTGATATAGGAACCGTTAGATATAGGCAATAATTCGATATATCCGTGTTCGATATATTGAGGTTTGACTGTACATCCCATACATCCAGGAGAGGTCAACTTCGATAATTGAAGGCACCTGTTATGAATACCGGCACACACTGCACTGAGCACCCCCAACGAAGCGGCTCACCGCGTTGCTCGAGACCTCACTCACCGAGCATCGCCTGAGGACGACAAGCCCCCACGGGGAACTGCAGACAACTGGGCATGGCAGGATCGTATGACCAGGTTTCACGACATCACCACACATTATCAGTTACAAAGACACATATACCCATCGCCTCACGAAAAGCTAAACAGAATGCAAGCGGTACACTTCAGACAATTACAAACAGATTCATACAGAAACCCCAGACTCATGCACACCATGTATCCAGACATATACACTTCAAACAGATGCACGTCACGTGGCGAGGTTGCCACCCTTAGTCACATGCTGTGGGAGTGTCAGGGCCTAATAAACAATTCAAACACTGCCGATTCGTCTCGCTCTTCCACCGCCAGCCTCCGATCGCGTTGGAAGGCCGCACTGCTCAGCTCGAACCTGACAGCACAACTCTGGGCCGTCCAGCGTGCCGAGGAAGCCGCTTCGAGCCAAGGTCTCGGAACCGCATCCGTGGTGGGTGCCTAGGCCCACTAAAAAATGCCGGACTCGAATCGTCTGGATTCGACAAATAAAGTTTATGTTCTTCGGATGATTGTGACCGTGCAACAACAAGCAGGAGAACCAAAGAGAAAGAAAAATGGGAGGGCACGAGCGGTAGAAATAAACATGGGCGTTCATGGTGAAAGGCTCTGGTCTTGAATACGCGACAGCAATGACGTGCTGGTCACAATGGCCTGCTTGTGGTCCCCCATTTCCTCAGATTAGCAATGGGATGTAAAGAGCTCTTATAATTGCACAGCAGAAGTCCTTGGACACCATTATTGTTAAAGAACTGGTGCACAGCTAATGGTTTAACAATTCACACAAATAAAACACAGTTCATTATTTCCCATTTGAGTCATAATGCTTTTTCACTTAATCTGGCTATTACTATCAGGAGCTACAGACATCTTTGTTCCACTAAGTTCACATTCTTGGGAGTACTCCTAGATGCTCATCTAAAGTACTATCATCACATTTCACTTATAAGACAGAGGATAGCTCATGGTATCAGAACATTAATTAAAGAATGACTATGCTTCAACTTTGCTTAAGCTATACTACGCCATTATCCAGTCATATTAACTACTGCATCACGTCATGGGCAAACACCTGTCCATCTCATATCCTCCCACTTCAACGTCTCCAAAACCAAGCCATTCGCATCCTAACATTCAGTACCCTATTCACTAGCGTGCCCCCGCTTCTTCAGCAACATAGTGTACTAACAGTGTGTAATTTATTCCTACATACACTGGGAATTCTTGTATTTAAGCGTTTTAAAGCTTCTATAATAGCCAATGTCTTCCAAAAATTTCAATTATTAAACACTAACCCCACTAGGCTCGTCTCTAACAACAATTTTTTACTACCACATGCACGCACTAACTACGGCAAATACACTACCATATTTTCTGCCGTACATTTTTGGAATTCAATACCACTATGCACTAAACAATTGTCATTCAATACTTTTAAGTATATTTGAGATGTCTGGTGTATCATTAATTGAAGTCCCTTTTGTTCAATATTCTACCGCCATCTTTTTCATAGCCATGTATAATTACTGAAGATTATTTTATTACCATTTCAGCTGAAATTTACATGACAAGTTTGCTTTGTCTTTAGTTCTATCATAATAACTTGCCACTTTTTAGTTGCCATTTTTCTATAGTTATCTACATGTATATTTTTCACAGGAGCCTTGAGTCTTTAAGCTTTGTGCTATGGGACCTCCTTCTGTATATACTAACCCATATTCCTTTACGTATTTTTCAACACATAAACATTTTTGACCGACTGACCTACATAGCCATAACACAGCAGACAAATTGACAAGACAGACCGAATGGCTTACCCTATGGAATTTTAATAGTTTAAAATATTGCCAGCAAAAATCATTTCATTTCAAGGATTATGAACATGCTAGAAATTGAAGTCATTGCGCAGTGGAAAGTACACCCAGCCCTCGAAAAGTTGAGGTGGGTTCGACTTTGATTTCACGTCTGATGACAGACAGTACTGTGGTGTAACTGCGCTTGCAGATAACCTAACAGACCAGATTTTGCTTGTTTTAGGCTAAGTGTAAGCGAAAACATCCAGCACTACAAACTGTATTTGCGATTTTTTTTATTCAAAGTAAATATGAAGTCTCCATGGGTGCAGGTTTGCTTTGGCAATTCATGGATTCATTTTACATTTTCAAATGTTAGCAAAGGTTATGCTGCACAACAGTTTCTTGTCAAGCAAAATGAGAAATTATGTGTACTAAATGCCTTCAGAAAAAGTCCACAAAGACGGATGCTGTCCTTGTTGCAGTACTCGACCACACTGAGCCGAGCAGCAATACGCGGCAGCATTCCAGCTCCGGTCACTGAACCACATTGCTTCAGGGGCCAGCCTAGAAGTAGTAGAGGATAAAACAAAATAGTTTTAAATTTTGCGTTCAGCAACCTGCTGTCTAGCGACATTTATCGTTCTTTTTTAGGACAGTCGCATGCGAAGAAGTCTGCACTTTTAGGTGTGTCAACATTACAGAGCAAGTCACAAAGATGGCATAACATCGAGTACTAAACCGACAGCTGCACAAATGGCTAAATCAAAGATTGAACGCAAGGAATGGAAGCAGAGAGAGGTTTGCATTGTCAAAAAAAATTATGTGACGTAATCCCGTATTTAGTCTACTAGACTGCTCTACCATTCAAGCTGAATACACATGAATATAGTGAATAGGAGCGATACTCTAATAGCGAGATGAAAGACTGCCAAGTAGTTTCTAACTTTGTGTGGTTGGTTGCCACAGCTACACGTTTAACAAAGCGAGAGTGAATTGCACGATGACAAAGAAAGAAGCACCGGCCATCCTAAAGGCACTCAGAAGCTTCCACGAAAGAAGGTGGTGCAGTATCTGTATTAGGGATCCCACTAGCTGATGTGTAAAACAGTAAATGCTGTCAAGCTTTGAGAAGAAACTGAAGCTCTAAAACTGAAACAAGCAGGATTGATCACAGTGCCATCCATACTAATTAAAAAATATTCAATCTCTATCATAACTACTGTCATTTGGGTGGTCATGACGGCATCCAGTGGACATACATGAAGCTAACCAAGCAGTTCACATGATCTGGCATAAAAGAAGAAACAACAAGATAATTATATTGCTACGTTGCTATCGCATGAAGGGTGAACCATTCTGTGATCAGAAGACGACGAAGAGGACTGGTTTGCTCCCTCTGTGTGCTGTGCTTCGATTTTATCGGTGTAAATACACTGCCAAATAGTCCCGTCCCGTCTCATTTTACGTAACATATTTGTGGTGGACGTGCTGGTCCTTCCCTGTACCCATCACGAAGCTCCGCAGCGGCCGCATCATCACGGGTCCTACCATGTCACAGGTTCAAGGTACATCGTCTTCACCACCCGCCTCTTCTGTGACTCCTACGTACGTTGTCCTACCTCCTGCTCGTGATCCTGGCGTATTTTCCGGACAGGATGGCCTTGACGTTGACAAGTGGCTTAACGTGTATGAACGTATTAGCGCCAGCTATAGGTGAGACCTATCACTCATGCTTGCAAACGTGCTTTTTTTATCTTGATGGCCCTCTGCGGGTGTGGTTCGAGACGCACGAAGCCTACATTACCAGCTGGGACACTTTCAGGGAGAAGATCCGTGACCTTTTTGGGAACACCGCTGTACGACAGATAACTGCGCGAAATCAGTTGGCTACTCGGGCACAGACATCTACCGAATCTTACGTCGCGTATATTCACGACGTCATTGCCCTTTGCCGCCAGGTTGACGAACACATGCCCAAGCCTGAGAAGCTGTCGAATGCGCTTAAAGGAAACGCCGACGATGCCTTCAACCTGCTTGTATACACTAATGTCACCACCATCGACGAAATCATCAAGGAGCGCCGGCGGTTTGAACACGCCAAGAGCCGCCGTATCACTCAGAGATTCACACGACTGCCCAACACGGCCACAACTTCATCGTGTGAAGGCGCTCGCCGACCATCCACCTATGACCACGTCACCCGAATTGTTCGTCTGGAGCTTGAAGCTGCCTGTCCAGCTGCCATTCAACAGCCTGTTTGTACAACTCAAGCCACTGACCCATCACACCCATCGGTAGCCTTAATTCAAGCTATGATAAGGCAGGAGTTCGCTAATCTCGGTCTTTTGTCAGCGTGTCCCATGACTCATCCTGAAGTATGCCCATACCTCTGAGGTAACGCTCGCCGATCTCCTCCATCACTGCCCTTCCGGAACCCTACGCAATGGCGAACCCCTTACGACCAGCCAATCTGCTTTCCTGTCATCAACCTGGACATATTTCTCGTTATTGCCGTTGCCACTGGTCCAACCCACCACGTCAGAGGTACCCTACTTATATGCGCCCTACCACTTCTGGATGTCTGGCCGCTACACCGTGCAACTTTTATTCGCCGCCTCCTCACGATCCTCTCCCCACAGACCTCCTTCTTCCGGTCACCGCTACTCCCGCTCCCCGTCGCCGCTACGCCTCCAATCCCGCTCTCCGCCGCCTCGGCGCTTTTCCTCGCCGAGCTTATCTGGATGACCGCAGCAGGAAAACTAGATATTGCAGCTTATGAAGGTGAAGTTGCAATACCAACGACGCCCGGAAACCCTCTACTGACGCTGCCCAGACACCACAGTCTCATTGAAGTAAAAGTCGACAATGTTCCTGTTACTACCCTTGTTGACACAGACGCCCACCTGTCTATTATGAGCGCACATCTACGCCACCATTTGCAGAAGATCATGACGCCCTCTACGACTCAAGCCATACGTGTTGCCGATGGCGGCGCTGTAGAAGTCATCGGAATGTGCACTGCTCGTGTCAACATTGCTGGTCGTCAGGCCGTAGCCCTTTTTGCAGTTCTAGATCGTTGCCCCCATGACCTCATACTAGGCCTTGATTTCCTCTCGGCACACTCGGCTTTAATTGACTGTTATTCTGGCACACTCAGCCTCGACCTTCCCCTGCTCTCTGATGCCTGTGAAAAGCCCGTCAGCCGCTTGGGTCCAACCACTTTTGTTTGCTTGCCGCCTCGCGCTGTGACATACGTCTGTCTGTCATCGACCCCTCCAGTTTCCGATGGAGACTCCATCGTTACACCGATAACAGACGCACGACTGACGCGCAGAGTTATAGTGCTGCATACAATCGCCACCATAGTGGACAACTGTGTGTTTCTTCCGCTCCTAAATTTTCGCCTCATTCCTCAAGTGTTGCCCTACCAGATGTCGCTTCCTCAACTCACTGCCATAAGAGATGATGACAGAAACATTGCCGGTGTAACTGTTCCGGACCAAGCCGAAGTCTCACGGTTACCACTTCTGCCGAGGCCATCTTTCGAAATATGATTAGACCAGACCTTTCGCCTTATCAGGCCAACGCTCTCTGCCGCGTTTTGGCCTCCTATGGTGACATTTTTTATATCTGTGATCGTCCCTTGGGTCAGACTAATATTGTCAAGCACCGAATCAACACTGGTGACTCTGCGCCCACCCACCGTCAACCTTACTGTGTGTCCGCTTCAGAACAAAGTGATTCCGAAGGAAGTGGACAACATGCTATCGAAAGACATCATCGAACCATCATCAAGCCCTTGGGCCCCCCCAGCGGTCTTGGTAAAGAAGAAAGACGTAGCTATCGCATGAAGGGTGAACCATTCTGTGATCAGAAGACGACGAAGAGGACTGGTTTGCTTGCTCTGTGTGCTGCGCTTCGATTTTATCGGTGTAAATACACTGCCAAATAGTCACGTCCCGTCTCATTTCACGTAACAATATCATGAGTGTCAGATTAATCAAGTAAAGTTTAGACAGCTGACTCAACATATGGTACAATCACAACACTTTTCTGCACCGTTGGAGGTCACTCACATGGACTTAGGAGAATTTTGTAAAAAAAATCCAAAGGTTATGGCTTGTAAAAAGTTGGTGGCAGCAAAAGCAGAAAAGGCCATACCAACAGTCTAATTTCCTTTCTAAACTAAAAGATGTCTAACAAAAAGTCAGTATTAGTGTGACAGTGAACCAGATTCACTGAGTCATCAACCCAATAAACGGGCAAATCAACAGCGAATTGCACTCAGGTTTACTGCTCCATGTCATTCAGCAGTTAATGGGCTAATGAAGCCAGCTAATTAAGACATATTGTAATACTTAAGCATGTGTCCAGACTTCCCAGAAGGATGCAAGAGCTGCCTTTAAATGACGTAGCTCATCGTGCACAGCCTTAAAAAGCATGTCTTGGGTGCACACTTCTTATGCATTTTTACATACACAGCCTCAATGAAGCTATTGCAGGAGTGAGGGAAAAAAACAAGAACAAAAATAAACATTCATGAACGGACTTTTGACTGCTCCTGCAAAGCAACCTATTTACCAGCCAACGTGGCTGTGAGTTGAAATGAAGATTGGCCTGACAGAAGAGAGAACTAAAGAGGGTGAAGCTAAGTAAAGAAAGAGAGTGAAAAGGAACTTCGACAAAAAACAGAATACAGCTGTGCCAATAATTGAGGTTTAGGACTTGGTGCTAGCGATGAAAGAAGTGCGAAACTCAGCAGCGAGTCACAGAGGGCCATTCTATTTTGTCAAAATGGCAAGCTAGCAGGGACATTTAAATATTGCCCGATATGTTGGCCTCAATAGCTCCTTTGAATTGGCCTCCCCAGCCAACATTCTAAAGGAGAATGACACCACTTTTCAAAGGTGAGTTTACCCTGCCATGCGAATTTTATGGATACAAAGAACACTCCGAGCAAGTGAGAAGCATATGAAATCGTGATAAGATAAATTATTTCTTATATTAAAGTCAGGTTTCCCGTGGCACATCAGGCAATTCTAGAGATTTTATGCTGAAATCTGGCTAGTTGTGATGACATCAGGTACCAAAACGGCCACTCAGCGTCACAAAATCTATCTTGTGGGTTGGCAATGGAGCCACAGTGCGTAGCAGCCGAGCGAGTTTCACGATTTCTCGCACAAGCACATGACGAGGAGGTCATATTGTGTTACGATGTCAGGGCACTGTAGATAAAAAAACTAGCTTTGAAAATGATACCGTTATTACTTTTGCGGAGTGCACTCGCACTTCGCAGTACATTTTCTAGATCCTTGAAGGTTGGGCATTTCATTTTTTGCAAGAGAATAAAAAAATTTGCAATTAGTACCCCTTTATCATCCGGGGAGGTTAGAAAACAAGTGCTGCGGAAGTGAAGCAAGCTTAAGCAGTTGCAAAAGACAAATGATTTCTTGCAGTCAAATAGGAGTACTGAGGTATTAAATAAAGAAGTTAGAAATGATGACAAGAAGAGAGTGTGTCTCTGTATTATGTGCAGTCTTTTTACATACCACCTGTTAGCAACTTGTATGATAGGCCAAGGTTAGTCTGCATTGAAAGAAAAATGTGAACTAACCTTTGCAAGATCACCAAAATTTCAGCATGTTTTTTAAACAATGCAAAACAAATATGTGTCAATACCATAGCATTGTGCCATTTTGTTAATTACATTTTTGAGTATAATTATGGTAATAATGTTAGCATAATCTGTACAAATCAAACATTACCTGTCAACCTGAGGTGTAATGATGTTTTCTTTTTTTTTCATGGCACCAGAACTAGCACTTTTCCAAAGGGCCCAAGGAATTTCTCAGCAAGGTGCTGCAAACAGATTATAAACTGTTCATAAACTGATCATTCACAGCCCTACAGCTAGTGTAGCACTCCCTGTCACGTGCACTCGGCACACAATCATAATTCATTTGCCCTACGCAAACATGCATTCTCTGTAAAAGGCAATGCCGAGGGTGGTGCATTTTTTTAACACTATATATATATAACGCGCAACTTAGCTGTAGCTGGTCATTCTCTTCATTCACAGGACATTTGTCATTTAATTTACGTGTAAAGAATGCAAGCTCAAACCGCTAACGATTCCGGATTGCAGTTTTGATGTACACAATGAACTCTTTCCCACACCAACTGCAGTTATTTGCAACATGATGCTTACTCTGGGCACGCGATCGTAAAGATTCCCACATGCCTTCCCCAAAATACATAGCAACTATGCGGTGAAGCCTCAAGTAACGTGTGCATACTTTTTTATTATTCTATAGCTTTCGGCAAACACTCAAACCTGTGGGTTGCAGTTTAATTTTCTTTTTGTTGTGGTTTCATTTATGCCACTGAAGTCTATGCGCACTAAATGCAATGTGCAACAGCAGCAATAGCCGTGCTCGGGCTGGGTAGCGTAGTAACCGAAGCTGTGCCTGCCCGAGCATCGTTTGCGAACTTGAGCGCACCGACGGTCTCGTAAGCAAGCATTTTATGGCTCTGTTCAGAACTGCAAAAATAACTTACCGAGACCAGCATCTCGACGTCTTCTTAATCTTTACTGTATACGACGGTCCACTTCTTGGTGTAACCTGCAGTCGTTGAAAGCGGACCATCACTGTCGGCGGCAGTGAAGTGCAGCTTCGGTAGAGGCACGCTCACAGCATTTCTCGGCACACTTGAAGTTTCCACGCGTCCCTCCAAATGTTCGGAAGGCGTTTTTCTCGTTCGAGATCGCCTCAGCAAACACAGCGCGCGCGAAGTCTTGCCTGGCAGCTGCCTGCAGCATTATAGAGGCTAGAAGGTTTTGAAAACTTTTCTAGCCTCTATAGCAGCCTCGTCATGGGCGCAGCCATGTTTGCTGACGACATCACGCACGAACGAATGAGCGCGCAGCGCTTCCGAGAGCCTTGTAAGAGCGTCTGGCGCAGTGCATTGTGGTGCATTCTGTGTGTGTGTGTGTGTGTGTGGGGGGGGGGGGGGGGGGTATCCGCTCGTCTTTGTAAACTCGCCGCCCGGTCATCCTCCGGACTTACAAGAGTGAATAAGAGCACCTTTCCACAGATCTTTGCAAACTTTATGCATGAGTGTAACTTGTTTATTTATGTGTGATCAACCTGTGCCGTTGTTTATCTACTTTTATCATGCCACAAGGCAGTCTTTCAAATTAAAAAAAAAAAAAACACTTGATGCCTGAAATTTGTTTGAACCAGTTATGCAGCCTTAAGGAAGTTAAAGAAGCCCAGGTTGTAGAAATTTCCGGAGCCTTCCACTACGGCGTCTCTCATGTTCATATATGGTTTGGGGACGTTAAACCCCACATATCAATCATCAATCAGCCTTAAAGAAACAGGCGCACTAGCGTGTGTTCTTTTTTTAGCGGGTAACCGGCTTTAAACCACGAAGTCATTGTGATAATCACATGTTCCAACGCCCGATTTTCATAGGCGCTTGTACCACGCATTATTACTAAAATATTTCATGTTTCATTGTGAAGCCAGTATACAGGACGCGTGTGTTTGTAAAGCATGGATCACTTCTTTCACTGCATGTTCAAGCAGAGAAAGTTATTTTCAATGCATTCGAAGCTGGTGAGTGGCCATGTAGTAGAACATCCGCTTGACACTGAAACGACGCGGGTACAATTCCCACTCGGACCCAAGAGCCGAGTTCGATCCTCACTCTGACACAAGACTTTTCGTTATTTATTCTATTTGCATCGTAATCGATATTTCCGTGACGCATGTGATGATTTTTCGCTCACAACCAACGATGCGGAAGCCGAGATCACTGCTGCAATTTCTGCGAAACTTTTAAGGCGGCGGTCTCACTCCGGCGGCACGAGCACATCGTTTTTGTCACTTTTCCAACTGACGTGGCGGCTGTTCTTCTTGTCTTATATAGTTGGTTTATGTGTCATTGAAAAGCTTAATTTTTGTACATTTTAAACATATCTATTAAAAATAAGTAAGCTTTTAGCATTTGGGTAGGGAGAGCCAAGAATAAGCGCTAGTTACATGGTTTGGTCTGACTGTGTGTCAGCAGTGACCATTTTATGAAAAATCTGCTGCAGTTACAGCACTGTTCTTTGCGCAGAACATTTAAGACATATGTATCTATTTCCTCAACGTAGCAAATTATTCTAGCACTTTTACTGTATTGCTGATTAGCTTTTGAAAAGAGCCAAATTTAGTAAATGTCGATGCGAACTATCCGGCACCTATTCGCTAGAGAAAATTCATTTTCTGGGTGTATATAGAGGATGTCATTTTCCGTTTGAGTGCTCAATTTTATTTATGTACGCCCGCTCACTTTTTAATTATATTGATCTAAATTGGGCAATATTCTCATTAGATAGACCTACCGTGGCCCATTTTTGCGGAGAACTACTGAAGTTCGTTTGCTGAATTTGCACGTAGATAAACTAGAACCCCTGATCTATTTCCTCAACGTAGCGTTTTTCAATAAAGTAAGCAGAAATGCGAAACAAAGCTCGCGAATTGTCTTAATTTATCGTGCCGTAAACATCAACAAAGTCGTTGTTATCTTGAAATAGCAATGAAATCTAAGCATGCATAGCCTAAACTATAACAGTTACGGTCTCCTGGTATACTTATGCACACGAATCGCACACAACAGCTGCAGGAATATTGAGAAATCTACATTATTCCTATCACTACAACGAAAATCTTCCTCTAGCGCCACCTAAACAAAAATAAGGAAAGCGCTGAATTTGAAGGTTCCCTGTCTCCCCGAATGCGGCGTGCAAAAACATTTTGCCTCAGGAGGAAACGTCTTTTCTAACTTCAAACCATGCACCGTCATCTGTAAGCCTTCCTCCCCTCAGAGTCTCATAAGGCTGCGCGGTACCGCGGGAGAGCGTGAAAACAGGTCGGCAGTATCCTCCGAGAGGGTGGGGTGAGCGTCTTCACGGGAAAAGAAAGGCCGAATTCATGGAAAGTCCCTCTTTTATGTGTGCACGTCTTTGTCGCCCTCCTCACCCCCCACGGACTAAAGCGAAAAGCGAGGGCTGTGCGACGACAGTCAGAAGAAAGCAGAAAAACGAACGACAAACGAGCGATACGAGCGAACTGAGCAGACGTGCGTGAGTAAGGTATTTGTGAATATCTTTTTTTTTTTTTACCGTGAAATATACGGAGCTTCAGACGTGCTGCGCTTGTTCGTATGAACCCATCACAACAAACAGCACAAACACGAAACGAGGCACACCTACAGGAATGAGATGAAGTCTGTTTTGTACTTTCTGCGTGTTTATTTCATTTATTTACTTTGGGGAAAACTACGGTGCGGCAGGAGTTGAGGACGCGTGTTCGCTTTCCGCCTTTATATACGACAAGCGCACATTTCCATAGCGCCGAAATGCGCGAACACCAATGTTCTGGAGTACCCCATGACGGCGTTCCTCATAATCACTGCAAACTCGCTCTAAGGGGACGCGGGCGCTTGCAATCTCTTCTCTCGAAGTCAGCTGTGAATATCCGTCATCGGTTTCAATAAACCACAAAACCGAGCAATATTTATTCCGTTGCTCACTGCATAAACTGGCTAAAATCATGCTACTGCCTGAAAATCTTGCAGATTTTTCAGCCAGTAACAACGAAGCGAAGTGGCATGAAATTTGCTGAATGCACGGCGTGGTGTAAGAAAGTACTTCGGTGCGGGGACAGCAATGAGGCACCAGGGCTCTTGTTTTTTTCTGCTTTGAAGCACCCGCGACAAGTGAGGTCCTTCAGGGAGGCAGAAAGGCGGATAACTTTTGACTATGCTCCCACTGAGCAGGTCTGGTGGGGGAGCGGCAGTGGTGAAGCCCATCTACATTTCCTATGCACTGAAAACTTGTTGGTTTTCTTCGGTGCCAGTGTACAACACCATGCGACAAGGCACCCTGCCGACGCTTTCGCCTGAAGGAGAGAGAGAGAGAAAGGCAAAGGAAAGGCTTATATGCTACCCTACACGGGGAGGGGGAAGGGGAGAAAAAGAATAGAGAAAAATGTCAAGGACATGCGGCACCTGCTGACAATTCGTCATTAGGAAGTCTGCTGTGCGGAGAACTGTCAATGCGTCAAGATAGCAGCTCCTTGACTCGTTAGCGTGAGTCATAAGGCTGACGAGTAGAAATAGCCGATCTTGGACTTACGCCTAGTAGCTCGAAAAGAACAGAAACGTTTCTGAAAGGGATAAGTTTATAAGAAAGTGTGGTGACATCGGTGTGCATAAAACACGTTTACATGAGTGCGAAACATGCGCTTCGCATTCATGTAAGCAATGGAAGGCGCATTGCACTAATGCGTAGGAAATGGGCAGTTTTGCGAGTGCCGGTCGATTCACGGGCCGTAAATCACGATGAGGGGAATGGTGGCCCCCCGTTGTGCGAACTTCGTGCGTCCCTCTTTCGCTATAAGGAATTTATTAATATTAGCTCAAGAAAACAAAAAAACGTACGTTCGAGAAAGAAGTGGGACGAAGCAGAAATGTCGGGAGCTGAGATATTCCTGCCTCCTGCCACTCCTTTCTCAAGTCATTGTTATTTTGCTCGCGCTAATATGTACCTATTTATATAGTGGTTGATGACGCAGAAAATTGTGCGAATTTCTGTTTCCCGTGCTCGAGGCACGACTAAGCTAATGAGTTAATTTTTTTAGTTCTTTTACATAAACCAACTCGCCCAGCTACAAGTCGCTGTAATCTGATACTCGCTCGCTGTAATCAGACACCACATGGTAGCTGCGGCGTACAGAAGACGAGAGGTCCTGCAAACGGCGTCGCATCACCTTTCCGAAACGCGCTTGCAAAGTCGATGGGCTACTCTGGCATTCGTGTAAAATTGATTACAGCCTGACAGCTCGAAGCAACTGCCAGTCAGTTGGCTGCCAGCTGGGGCGACTAACTTCATTCAACAAGAGGCCGGCACGCCGTCTCCACGGTTGTTGGGAGTGGGGTCCAGTTCCTCTTTCCTCGATAAGAAAGCACGTTTGCGTATAGCCGGGCGTCGACAGTTTGCCGTAAGCCGGCACGACAACTGGCGCATCACGACCATGTAAACGGGGGTAATGCGCTAGAAAGACGTATCCCACAAATGCGCCAGGCAGGTCTGGATTTCGAGGGGTAAGTCGACCCAGAGTACTTTTCACGACAAAGGAACGCCGACCACTCGTCGTGTTGGCCTTGTGTGCACTTCTCGCACACTACAAGACATCTGCGAGAACAGAAAGCAAGAGCTTCTCGGGACTAAAGTCCACTAAATTTTTCTCTTTTACCTAAGTAACGACAACTGCCTCCTCTCCCGACCCTCTCTCACACACAGCCGGTGCCTGCCACCATGTGCTTCCTAACTAGGAAGACTTCCAAAGCCACGTACGTATAAGTAAATTAGCCACGCGCCTATCAGTGAACATTGTGCGAACGCGACGCGCCTTTCCCCTCCAGCTAGTCCCCCGTCAATAGTGAGCAAGGAACGCGTTTTACCAGGTACCAAGAAGGGGTGCCCAAGGCGACACCACTAACACCTGAATAGTCTAGATGGCCTCGCACGAGGGCAGGAGATGTGGAATAACAGCCACTATGCTAGCCTGAAGGTGCG